TAATACAGTATCACTCCATTAACAGCAGTTTTAGCAAACCGATTGCAAAGGGAAATTTTCATTCCATCCTACTAGACCAGGTAGAGTTCATTAATAAGGGTCAAGGAGCAACATCCAGTTACTGATTACTCCCAAGGCTCTAACACAAGACAGAACCTCCCAACAGCACCATATTCAATGTAGGACTGCCTTTCTGAAGAAAAACACAGCTGATGTAAAATGCAGCAACCAGATTTCGTAGTCATATTATCCGTACTTATATTGAGATTAGTTGAGCCAGTACACTTTCCCTTAATGGCAAGGAATAGGAGTAAGGTAGCCATGGATGTTTGTGTGCTTTATATACCTTACTTTCCTTCTTGATGGTGGTGGTTGTAACAGACTGTCCAAAAGCCCCACCTTGAAGTATGCTGTTGCTTCATCCCATGCCAATCTGTGGAGGCTCTGTCCTTGCAGCAATAGTGGAACATTTGTTTCTCAACCCTTGAGAAAGAGGTTCTATAAAGGGTTGTGAGACTGTATTAATCTGTCCTTCCTGTATTGTTGTGTAAAATCGTCCTTTTTACCTCTACAAAGTCTCCCTTTCTCAGACTTTCTTTCATCAGAACTCCCCTTTGTGCACTCTAAACAAGGATGGTCAGAAAGCAGATTTCCAGATGCTTTGGACTTCAACTTCCAGAATTCCTAACCATTGTTCATGATGTCAGGAACTTCTGGGAGTCAAAGTCCAAATGTCTAGAGATCTAGCTTTTGTTTATAACACCATTACTGTGCATAGTGTTTTACTAACCAGAGCACAATTCCCTTGCCTTGAGGACTATCTTTGATTCAGAACGGGTAGACTGTTCTGTGTCAGGAAGAGAATGGAGGCAGAAGGGAAGAATATTCAGAAGGGTAACCTTGTTAGTGTATTGTGGAAAAAAACCACAAAGAATCTTATATCTCCCTAAGGTTAATTAATTCATGATGGAATGGAATTCAGATGCACGAATTCTTTGTAATTTCAGGTATATTTATTTATTTAACGCAATTTTTATGCCACCCCCTTTGCAACAAGCCTCGGGGCGGCTTACAAAGCAAATATACATGTATATACTGCCTTATCTGCTAAATAGCCAACAAATGATGCACATGTAAGGGAAAAAAGGAAATTATAAACAGTAAATTTAGAGGAAAATTAAATATAGAAGGCACTGTAGTGACAATCACCTGATTAACATTCACAAAACAGTTGTTGATAACACAAACACTCTGGCACTTGGTAAGCTAATTAACACATGAAGTATGTTAATAAAAACAAACATTTTATCCTGATTCAAGTTATTAGAGATCAAACTGAACCTCTCGATGAACTATAATTCGTATTCTCATGCTGTGTTCTGCCTTTGAAGTTTTCTTTGCTCCACAATGACCACTACAAGTCTGTTATAATAACCTGCGCATTATGCACATTGTGGTCAATTCCTACTTTAAGTTAATCATTATTCTCTGTTGTAACAGTGGTGACAGGCAGCAGCAGTCATCTGGCACTCTGCATTTCCTTTAATAATAATTTTAAAACTTTAATCATCTCCCTTTGCAATGTTAGTGATAGGACTTTCTCTAAGCATGCGAAGGATCTCAACTAAATTCCACACTTCCCCTGAAACACATCCATTTTTGTTGCAGTAGTAACTTAGGAATACTGTGGTCACCCAGTAGTTTTGCTACTGCAGTGTATATCCATGATCTTTGCTTTTCATTTAGTAGCAATCTTATCCACCAGGTGAAAATAGAAATAAATCTATATGATGAGCCTATTATGGATTAGATTTCCTATGGGAAAAATAGTATTAACCTGAGGAAGTGGAATTTATGGAAAAATATGCATCCATTTCTTTTCCTAGTACTTAAGTGCATGCATTCTTATTTGGCATTAGAATGACATTTACATCTTGATAAATGACTGTATTTATACCTCAGCTCAAACAGCAAATGGGAGTTTTAGTTTGCCCCTGGAATTGTATGTAAGACCCTGGTATTTTATTTTAGACAAGTTGCAGCTTTGACTTCTAAACAGGCACAATAGTGTTGCCCAGTTTGCTTCCAAGAACTGAGGACTCCAGGCTCAACAGCCCATTGAAGTGTCTAGAGATGAGACATGGTTTCTAGCCAGCTGCATAATAAACCAAGTGGAGCACAGAGTAATTCAGGAAAACTCAAATCATACCCCCTGAACAAACAATTCACAGGTCTTTTATATCTTACTTCAACCACAGTTCCCATCAAAAGGTCCCTTGTTATATCCCTTTCATCCTTCCATAATTCTTATCTCGGTCATAAACCAGTGATTTTCTTCCCATGGTTTTGCTCCTGTGCAGTCATGTCCTAATGATCTCCTTCAGGCTTAAATCAGCTAAAACTTAAATTCTACAATTAGTCTGGCTATAATTCATCTAGCTAGGGTTCACCTCTAGTTTGCCAGCAAAGCCACTCTTCTCCCTCCTTAAGGGGCCTTCAGCCTCTGACCCCCAGGTCAGGCCAGCAACAGTATGTAGGCTGCATCATGAATAAAGAATATTATGGACATTATGGATACAGTCTGTGCACCAAGAAACACTTTACCGAGCAAGGGCTCCCTTAGCAGAAGCACTGAAAAGCCAGTTGTATTTCTACTACAACACTTCATTATTTACTTATATAGCACCATCAGTGTGAGCACTGTGCAGCACACAATAAGACTGGACTCTGTGCCAAAAAGCTTACTATCTAAAGTTTGATCCAGGAAAACATCATAGGTGGGGAAGTGGAGGTAGAAGAAATAGAAAGCACTGTGGTTTGTTTCAATTCCAAGTACTTAACTTTAGTTACTGGCTGAGTTATGCTAGTTATATTAGGGGAAGGAAGCCACAGAACTGGTTGTGCCAAAACCTTCATGGAACCAGTAGGGTTTTTGGGAAAGATTTGAAAGAAGCAAGAAAGTATGTTGAGAAGTAGTTCCAAGCATATGAACCAGCAAGAAAGAAATGGTGGTTTAGAGTCTTTCAAGAAAGCTGAAGATTACAGGATGAAATGTACAGTATTGGGAAATAAGGGCAGAGAGGTAAGGGGGGTAGCTGTGAAAGTACTGGATCTAGGACTGGAGAAGAAGCCAGCATAGGAATTCCAGGAGAGGTGCCATTGTAGGTGCCCTAACTGGTAAAACACACTCTTGGCATGCTGAAAGCCCCAGGTTCAACCCCCAAGATATAAAATTTCTGATTCCCTGTGTTTAAACTCTTTGTAACCTTCCTGAGAACTCAACCTGGTTCCAGTCTGAGCTGTGAGACCCCTCAAGTCATATTGCTTGTTTATCAGTGACAGACAGAAATTAACAATTTTTTGTGTGTGAATGAAATAGTGTAGTAAAATCTGTTTAGCTGAAATTGCATCCTTGTTTATAATTGTGCTACAGAACATGTACTAGAAAGAGGGTTGAGTGGTGCCTGTCTGCTTGTCTGCCCATTGGCAGGGTTAGAGTGGATTGTAGTAAATTAGGTCTTATCTTGAAATGGACAATGGACAAAATGAAAGATCAAAGTGTAGATGAGAAGAAAGCAAGATGCCCAATGACAGGCGGCTCTTAAAGGTACACACATATTTTTCATGCTGATATCTTTTGGAAGAGTGGGCTGCTCTGTATTCCTGTGCACACACCTCAGTAACAAGCTTTTCTGGTAGACCTTGCTGCTAAGATTTTTGTCTCTCAGGGTTGGACAAACAACCTGGCTGACTGGGGATTAAACTGACACCCAGCTTCTCTAGGTAGGACCAGGAAAGAACCTTGCCTAAAGCTTCTGGAGTGCAGTTGCCAGGCAGCTTGGGCCATAGGGCCAGTGATCTGAATCAGTATAAGGCAACTTCCTATGTTCCTAATCAGGATTGATCATTTTAACAGCAAACTGCTGGACAGACATGAAGGGACCAGGTAAGACAACAGCAGAGGCAGACACTTGCCCTAGTCTGGATGAGAGATGACCAAAGTGTGAAGCGGTGCTTTTAATTAGAGGACAAGACTGTATTTTTTTAGTTATGTAAAGAAACAAGTGCCACTTCTGTCAACGTATGCACAAGGAAAGCATCAATACTGTGGTTCAAGTAGTCCAGAACAGTGTTCCCATATTATGTTGCTACCTTTACAGGACCAAGAGGGTTTTTCTGCCTTTAACCCTTAGAAGACCTTTGCCTGAATTTCTGTGTCAGGAAACTGTTACAGTACAGAGAAATTTTAAACATTTTATTTTTACAAAATGCCCGGCTTCCCCTGTGGAGCCGGGGGGGGGGGGAGTGCCAACTACAATCAATCGGATAAACGCTCCAAAAGGTACCACAAACTCTTCTTTAGAAATGGAAACATAGCATCCTCCGACTTTCCTTCTCTCCCGCTGGTCAGCGCAAAGCTAATTGGTCCACTGAAACCCAAATGCAAATAAGCCAGCCGTCTGTGAACCACTAACGAGACGCAAGGAGATTTGGGTGACAATTCATTGGTCAACGTTCTCGTGGCGCGATGGCGCGTGGCCCCCTCCTGATCTGTCGGGCGCTGCGCTTCTTTCCTCGATGGTTGCCAGGGTGACGGACGGATGACGTATCGCTGGCTGGGCGTGCCAGATGTTCGCCATTGGCTGCGTGATCGGGCGATGGCTGCGGTCACGGAGCTGCTAACCGGGTGTCCTTGTCTAGCCGCGAGGGCGGTCGCTTCAGTCTGCGGCAAGGAGGGGAGACGGAGAGAAGGCAGCCTACCGGCTTGCCAGCTCCAGCACGATCCCGGCTGTTGACTGACGAAGGTATGGACGATTCCGCGGGCTCAGTAGTGTAGGCTTGAGCCTGGCTCCGTGGCGCTGCAGTGGGCGACGGGGGCGGTTTCTGTTGTTCACGCAGGAAGTCAGCCGTTTCGGTCAGGCGCGCTTCGGCCAGCCCTTTCTCCGCCTGGAGGGGGCCTTCCTGGCGGGACCGGTGGGGCTCCGTAAAGGAGCAACTTTCTGTCTTCCTGTGGCGGCGCGGAAGCCTCGAGGTCGGTTACGGCCTCCGGCTCCTTCTCCGTCCAAGAGTCGCGAGGGGGCGTCCGACGCACGATGGTGGCGTGTACGGCGTAGCTCTGCCCCTTGGAGTGGGAGAGTCGGATGTGTGGAGGGTGCCGTCCGCCCATCTTCTGCGGTGTCCCCCAGCTCTGCAGGCCTTCGCTTGCTATCCGTGAGTGAGAATACTTGTACGAGGCCGGCCCCGTGCGGTAGCCTATAAAGAGCTCCGTGGCTGGCGGCGGCGATCCCAAGCAACAGTACATCCGAGGCAGAATTAACTGCCACGAGCGGCCCCGCTGCCTGGGGCTGCTTCGTGACAGGTGTTTTGCCGGTGTCTCTACCGGGACTTCCTGTCGTGTCCGTTGCCTTTAGCACTTTATGGATCAGAGAGGCCGAGGGGCGGGGATTGGTCCTTGATCACGGATAAATAAATTACCATGCCGCTCTCCGGCTTTTCTGTGCTGCCTTGGCAGAGAGGGAAAATAGAGTGCAAAGACGAATCCTTGATTTTATTTTACAGCTTCAACTTTTTATGGTTACCTGTGTCATATTTTTAATGGCTTTACTTGTACATCTGCCGGAGTCCTCACTGAGCAGAGTGGAGATCTGGAAATATTTTAAATAAATACTTATAATCCCAAAATATAGAAGAACATGTTAAAATGAGGATCTCTTAATACCTTCAAGGAGCTGCTGATTGCTTCCCCAAACCTTTTATATTGATTCTTGAACCATTCAGTATTTTCTGTATGCAGTAAAGATGGGCTTAGCTAGTATTGTTTGCAAAGCAATGGTGCATAGGTAGATCTTTATCTCAGTTTTTCCGTACAGTGCTGCTTTCCCCTAATTTTTAAAATTTTGTTTTAAATCATTGTGTTTGACAAATACTAACTTTGTCATGCTTGTTTATGATTGCTTATGTTACGTTTCAACTTTCTTAAAATGATAAATTTTAAAGGCCCAATACAGTACATCTTTCATTTCATACCTGTGTTCGCCTTTGAATTTCCTTTCAATTTCTGTCAGTTCAGTGGAAAGCCATTTCACTAGTTCTAGGAAAGAAGAGAACAGAAAGGACTAGAAAGATACTAAAAATGTGATATACCCATGCATGCATTTCTTAGAATTTATTCAATCAGAATAAATCATTTGACATGATTTGCTGTTGGCATGCACTGGTTTTATTGAGAGGTGATACTGTTAAATGAATGATATCTTCTGTGATGATTATTTTGTGAAAGTGTAGTATGAACATACAGATTTATAAATTTGGAGACAGGGTATAGTTCTCTGCTTATTTGGACAGAAAAAAGCAGACAAACCCCAGGCAGCTGGACATTATGGGCCTTTTTTTCTATCTATACAGGCATAGAATTACATATTAAAATAGTCAGGATTTCATATTTGAGACAGCACTCAAGAAACTATTGTTGTTGTGAGTTGGTCAGTGTGTGACCTAATATAAATTAGTCCCATTCCTGAAGTGTTGCCATTAGAGTTTTCTAGGGCAGACTCTTTCCCTAAATAACAGATTACTTTGTTTGCTTGGAGACTTGGTATACTGACCAGATGAAGGAAAAGTATTTTATGTAAGGATGTGACAAATTAATATTTGTACAACGATTCTCACTATGTCATATTATCTCTCAAGGAAGCTAAGGTGACCATTCAAGAGAGATAAAGAGCCCAGGAATCTGACAAAGCTTTTATATAGCATTGAAGGCAGAATCTTTCTGGGCCTGACTACTTAAACCGCTCCTGTTATATTGCATTTAGAAGTGTTCACAGCTCAAAGATGGTCATTGGCAATTGTAGGGAGAATGGACAGAGTTATGTCCCTTTCTAAAAAAATTAATGAGTATAATTTGCTTATTTATCGATTTGTAAATAACAATTACCAGAAAACTCCACTGGCAAATTATATCCAGCTTGCTTATGAATTGTGCTGTTAAAAAATAAGCAAAACTTCTGCTTTCTTTTGAAGAAATGTTTTGAACAGAAGGTGCGTGGGCTAAAATGCTTACATGTGTGAGAATTGTATGTGTCTCCTATTAAATATCAATGCATTTCTACCTTTAGCAGTACATCTGCAGCGAATGCACCTGGGTTGCTTATTTCTGGCATGCTAATGCTATATGTAAAAACTACTTCACATAGAGATTTAAAAATGATAGCACACAAAAGGAAATGTTTATACAGATAAGCAATTTGCTTGTAGTCCAATTTGTTTGTAGTATGTGTTAAAAAAATAGTATTTAACGAAAGAAAAGAACAGTGCTGTTTAAGACATATTTGAGAAGATTAGACCTTGTAGGGGAAAAAATCTTAAAATTTGAAATATACAAGAATGCTCTGTGGAAATATTAGTCCATATAGTTCAGAAAAATCTAGCTTTTAAAGCTGCAGCACTTGAAAATGTGAAACATCTTTGTCCAATTTATTAGTCTGCAGTTTTATTGGCCCATTTACCCACCCATTCCATTGTCCAGGAATGCTTTTGCTAAAAGAAAAAGAAACAACTTTATATAAACCTTCCTTGCTTGGGCACCTGAAGGCAGTTCCAATAGGCAGCAAGTTGATCTTCTGTTTTCAAAGTAGTACTAATTGTCATTTGGTGTTGGAGAAGCTAGATCTTTTGGTTAGAAAGAACTCCACAAGAGGTATATTTGAAAATTGTCACTTGTAATGTAAAGCAGTATTGTTTTATACTGTTCTTATTTATTTATTATTGTGAGCCGCCCCAAGGCTTTGGAGAATGGGACAGCATAGAAGCCTTCTGAAGGAAGGAAGGAAGGAAGGAAGGAAGGAAGGAAGGAATAAGAAAAGTTTTGGGACCCCAGGTTATATGGTATCTGCTAGTGAAATGTGCTGCATGACATTTAATGTTCATTTTGTGAGTGCTATGGCTGTGAGACACACCTCAGCTAAATCAACTGACTTTTCTCCTTTTATAAGGATGTGTACTGAGGCTGAATAATTTACTGTGTGGCATAACAGAGAGAAAGTATATTTTAATGACATGTTATCCATGTACATATATCAAAAAAATGTTCACATTTATATCAGCTTTGTCATTATGTCCACAAAATGTGTATCCCATAATTTTGTACATGTTCCACCTGCCTAAGTATCTCTCAAGCATTTTATTGTAAAAAATAGAGCCAGCTCCATTTTTTAAAAAAAATCCCAGTCCGTTTTCCTCTAGACTCTTTTTAACACTGCTATAGGCAAGCAACTTTTTATAGTCACAGTTGGGGTGGAGGAAGAGAGCAAGAGAGAGATCGTGTTATCTCTGAATGTACAGAAACAGTACAAACTTGCAACTAGCTGAATTTGAAAAACAAATTAGTTGGAACATCATGTTGAATTAAATTTAGGATGCCGGTCAATTAAGTTAAATATTGTGAGTTGGTTGCTTTTTACTTGGAAAACATGCTTTTGTAAGTGGCAGCTAACTTTCTAAATCAAGTTGTTCCTTGATACCGCAGTGGTGATACCTGTCCAGAAGTACATGCACATAGCCTTCCTTTAGGAGTAGATACCTCATATTCTCCAGATGTCTCCAGATATTTTTTATGGTTCTGTTCTTAGTAAAGCGATGTTGCCAAGCTTCTGTTGGATGCCTGAAATCTCTTGGGTTCCATCCTTCTCATTTGTGCTTGCAGGGGGCAGGGTGGGTCTTCCATGCAGCTAAACTGAGTGTTGTATAACTGAGTGTTGTCTGGGAAGGAACAGGCTTTGGGGTTTCCTGGTAGACGTTTCTATAGTTCTTTTTTCCTGTTTCATGAATTAATATTTTAAAATATATAATCATTGTCAAATTTATATGAAACTCTACATTTTTATTTTTACCCATGTGTGTAATTTGTTATACTAACAAGCTTTTGTATGTATTCAGCCTTAGATCTGGGAAATAATTTTGAAAATGTTGTCTGGACTCTTTCGAATGCATGGCCTTTTTGTGGCCTCTCACCCATGGGAGGTCATTGTGGGAACTGTAACTCTTACCATCTGTATGATGTCTATGAAGATGTTCACTGGTAATGACAAGATCTGTGGCTGGAATTATGAATGTCCCAAATTTGAAGAAGTAAGATGTTAAATGTATTCTTTAAATATTACTGCCCAATGTAATCATGCTGTTTGAAACTAATCTGCTAGGTTGAGATAGCTTAATCAAAACAATGGTTAATACAGGATATTAACTCACAGCTAGTCATGCACTAAGAGAAAACTGGTACAAGATATTTCTTTTCTGGTATATTATACTGAAAGATATTGAGAAGATGGGTAAGAATTATAATGGAAAGTGCTGGAAATGTAAAGAAGTGGATGGCACTTTTTACCATATGTGGTGGATGTGTAATACAGTTTTTACAAATTAAAAAATACATAGAGAGATACATAGAAAATGTTGAAAATCAACTTTGCTATGAATGCTAAGACCAGAAACTCTGTCATAGAATACAATAGAGTTATTTAAGTAAATAATAACAGCAGCTAGAATTATAATAGCATCAAAATGGAAAGCAGAAGACCACCCAACTGAAGAAGATTGGAAAAATAAATTTGCTGAATATGCAGTAATGGCAAAACTAACTAGTCAAATAAATAAGAAGACCTGCTGAAGAATGATAAGTGGACAGCTAATTATATACAATTTACTTAATAGAGTAAATTGTAATAATATCAGTGAGTTATAATTTTAATGCAAATGCTTTATTGTTATTTATAATCAATTTAAAAGGGGGGAAATAAGTCAGTATTAAGAATTACAAATTAGAATAATTGCTTTATACGTTTCAATTAAGTACTAATTAATTTAATTGACCATAGAAGAGATAACCATTATTGACGTTTTGTGAAATTTTAAAATCTTGATATAATGTATAAGATCCCTTGGTACCTTTTTTCTTTTTCTGTATTCTACTTGTCTATGAAAATAATAATAAATAAGAAAAAGGAAACAATGGTTAATGTTAGTTGCTGGCTGTTTGAGCAAATGCAATCCTAACTCATGGTTTGAATTTGCTCCTTTTGAGTAAATAAGTTGCAGTTTTAGTAAGTTTCCTTCACCTATACAGACTAATGAAATGCATGCTCTTTAAGTAGTGTCCCTATTTTGCTATTTCAGAAAGGTTTGTTTGTTTGTTTGTTTGTTTGCATATTTTTAGGCTGCCTATAACTGCCAAGGCCTTCCTACCCTGTTTCCCTGAAAATAAGACCTAACTGGAAAATACGTCCTAGCATGATTTTTGGGATGCTTGTAATTTAAGCCCTACCCCCAAAATAAGCCCCAGTTAAGATCATCAGCCAGACGGACGCATTTAGTATATCCGTTACAAGACAATTTGGGGTTTGGAGAGTTACGACGATGTTCCAGAAGATGCTGACATGACTGTACATGAATGAATGTAGATTGGTGTGCATGAAAAAATAAGACATCACCTGAAAATAAGTCCTAGTGCGTCTTTTGGAACAAAAACTAATATAAGATCCGGTCTTATTTTCAGGGAAACATGGTAGGTTGGCTTACAATACATTAAAGATTAAATGCCTAAAATGCTGGTCTGTTTTTTACCAAACTGCTTTAGAGATACGGTATTCCTAATGTGTATTTTATTTTAACAATGAACTTTGCTTTCTTTGTTGCAGGATGTTTTGAGCAGTGATATCATAATACTGACAATCACACGCTGTATAGCAATCCTTTATATATATTTCCAGTTTCAGAATCTGAGGCAGCTTGGATCAAAATATATTTTAGGTAAGATATTGATTTGTCTTACAGGTCAGTACAAACAAGTGAATCGAGCATAATAATTAACTTCCAAGTATATACCTCTGTATATATGAATGCAGGTTTATTTCTGTGTATCTCTTAAATTGGGTCCAGCACATGCTATATTGAGGGTGTAGGCAAACTGCAGAAGAGATGTTTTATATTGCCAGCATTCACAACACTTCTTAGTATTTTGTGGACTGGGACAGATTTCATTTGGAGATAGATAACAGATGTAAAATAATCAAAAAGGGTATAGAAACAGAGAGTCAGAAGGGACCTCCTGGGCCATCTAGTCTGACCCCCAGCTCCGCTCACAACAGGCCCACCATGTCCATGTCTAGCCTGCCTTTGAACACCCTCACTGATGGGGCCTCAACCACCTCCTGTGGAAGCCCATTCCATACTCTTGGGGTCCTAAATATCAGGAAGTGCATCTAAATGGAACCTTGGTTCCCTGAGCTTTGCTCCGTTGGAGCGCATCCTGCCTTCCTCTGCAGGGGAGAACAGGTCTCTACCTACCGCCTTGTGACGTCCCCTCACATACCTGTATGTCACCAACAGATCCCCTCTGCTCTTCTCCAGGCTGAAGAGACCCAGTCCCCTCAGTCACGCCTCATACGGCATCCCCTGCAAACCGGCCACCGATCTTGTGAACGTAATTATTTCTGAAGATTCCATGTCTAGCTATATGGGAAAATTGTCCATGCATGGTTCTGGCATGTGGAACTACAAATGCACAGTTGAGCTGTTTCTGTTGCTTAGGACTGCAGAAATTGCATGTAACAACTCTGGGGATTATGACTATCCACTCCAAAGTTACAGGGATGCTGCCCAAAGGGCATGTTTGCTGTAAAGTAATTAGGAGTTGTGCCTGGATGGGAGAATACTAGGACAAATGGCATAAGCTCAGTGCTATTGATTTCTAGATGAAAAGTATTTATTCAGCAAGATACTATTGCAGAGATTGTGTTTTATCACACGCAATCAGGGATTTAGTCCTGCCAGTGAAGGAGGATGCTGAATTTCTTACAGGGCAGTGCATTTGGGCAATTGCGGTTTGACATACAGAAATTCTAAGGTTGTACTTTGCTGCCCAGTTTTGTCATGAATTGCTCCAAAATCTAGATTATCTTTTTATTTAAAATGAAAGAGAAGTATTCTGCATAAAGTCTTCCTGATAAAGCCTATGTCCATCTGCTGCATAACCTGAAACAATGTGGCAGTTACATGGTGGGGTCTGATGTGCATATGCTTGGTTCTAATTCCTTGGTTTTAATGCCTTGTTACATAGATTTTTGTTTGTTATAGGTATTGCTGGGCTCTTCACAATCTTCTCAAGTTTTGTCTTCAGTACAGTGGTGATTCATTTCCTTGATAAAGAATTGACAGGTTTGAAGTATGTATTAGTCCTTGTTTTGCGTATGAAAATATATCTTTATCTGCATAGAAGCTCAGAATGCTTGGGACGGGGCAAAGTTGGAGCTCATTTCAGAAGCTTCCAGAACATACTTAAGACCTCTGCAGTATGATTTCATTTTATGTGTCCAATCTTTTCCAAATGTCCAGCACTAGGCCCAAACAAATCCCATTAGCAGTGCTGCATAGGAATTTCCCCTGTTCAACAGTGGTGTTTTATGGTACTGAAACAGCATTCCTCCCCTCCTTTCTTCTCTCTTCTCCACGGTAGTGCAGGTCTTCATACCATACTATATTGCATGTTGTCACTGCTGCCTGCCTGTGTTATCTCTCTTTGCCATGCTGTTTGAATACATGTAGACAATGAGGTGTATGAATGCATCCCATAAAAGACATCCTTCAGTGCATGTTCGAAGATTAAACATTAAAATGGGACCTCTTTCTGATATAAGTTATTTGCACTTAAATGATTAGGCTAGTTTTCAAAGTTGGGTGTGATTTACTTTGCATATTTTTAACTGTTTTAAATGCACAATATGTTTTTGTTCCTTTTTCAGTGAAGCTCTGCCATTTTTCTTGCTTCTGATTGACCTCTCCAGAGCCAGCGCATTAGCCAAATTTGCACTCAGCTCCAATTCACAGGTTGGCTAAAGACTGCTTCAGTAGAAAGTATGATTTTTTTTTAGCCCAGCTCAGGATTTCGACTTCTTTAAAAATTAGTTTGTAAATAAGGTAGTCTCATAACTGGTTGATACTTGTTTCAACTTATTTTTCCCATAATGCTTGGGGATTTATTAAACCTACTGTAGTAACAGCTCATATGAAATGCATGCTATGCCACTATTTAGAGAAGAGCCAAACAAGACTGAGAGTACAGTCCTATATGGAATGAAATTCTACAAAACTTAACATTATTCTTTGTGTTCTCTGTGCATCACACATATTGACTCTGTGCATATGTGCAGAGCTAATTTGGAAAGATATCAAAGCTGATTAATTATTATTCAGCAGGAGCCTCACCCCTGGGCACACCCAGCCTCCAGGGAGGTGCTTCCACAAAGTCCTCAGTTCTTATTCAGCTGGTATTATGAACACATTGGAAAGTTCTTTCTCTACTACTTACCTTACAAATGTTGCCTCATCGATTTTTCTGAGATGTTTTATTGCATTTCAGGTTTTATCCATGTTGTTTTTTTCCCTCTTCTCTGCAAAAAGAAAGATATTTTACTGCTTTTCTCTCACTTTTTTTCCCCGCTTTTGCCAGCCTTTCTACCCTTGTCCACTTGAGAAAATGACTCTCAAGGCCCCATTCCACAACTGCGTGGATTATGGCAGCAAGCTACCACCTATCAGCAGATACTCCCTGTGTCTTTTTTGCCTGGGAGAGACCCATGTTGTTGATGCTTCCCATTGCCAGGCTTTTACTAACCAGGTGACTACCTAAAAGCTGAGCTGTAGAGTCGTGCCCTGTACCTGGATAGCTCCTCTCAGTCAACTACCATCCTCACCAGAGATATCCTCTGCTTTATCCAGGACTCTGCCACTGCCACCACAACCCAGTGGGTCCTTGGCCTCATGGCCACCTTGATAGCTTACTCAGTTGCACATGATGCCACTTCAGTTAGCCTCCTTTGATACAAGAACCAAGCCCCACACAACCATGCTTCAAATTTCATCTTGAATCCAGAGAGACTTCCAGTGGTGAACAGATGAAGCCACTACTGCCACTGGAGTCACGTTCTCCCCTCTGGAACTGCATCTTGCACACAGTGGATGCCTCTTTCTTCAGATGGGGAGCTCACTCTGGCTGCTGCATGATCCCTCATATACTTTATATGGCCCCATGCCATATAAAGTACTTAGAGTTCCGAGCCATGAAGAAAGCTCTTGTCACCTTTCAGACACTAATTCTGAACCATTGTGTTCAAATCTTTACCAACAACATGACAGTTGTGTACATCAATAAATAGGGACAAGATTGACCCTGCTTTCACTTCTTGCCACCAAGATCTGGAAGTGGGGTGCCTTTTGACATACCACTTTCTTGGTAATCCATGTCATGTGTACCTACAACATCCTAACAGATGCTGTCAGCCAGATCTTCATGCAATGTGACGAGTAGGAACTTCACCACACCATGATGTAATCCCTGTGGGATTATGTAACAAATATATTGAATTTGTCACGAAAACAGGACTCAACCTGAAAGGTAGTCATAATCTCAGACTACCCTAGTTTAAACAGAATTGTTAGCATATGATTTCATATGAATGGTCACACAAGCTGAAATCCAGTCAGTGACGACAAAAGAAAGTGACTGTTTAGCTGTAGCCTTTTGTTTATGGCATTCCCTTACCAAAGAGACTAAGTTGGTACCTATTTTAATGCCTTTTGAATGTCAGGCAAATACTGTTCTTACAGACCTTAAAAATCTGATAACTTTCAACCTTATATTGGGCTGTAAACTTAATACAATGGTTTTACTCTTGGGAAGAACATTTTAGGTCTAATTATCTGCCACTTAATTAGATTTTTACTTATTTCAGTTTTAGAATTGTTTTATAAATTGAATCTGTTGATTTGACTTGTTTTGGGAGTTTCCCAGATAACTACAGTTCATAGGTGACTGATAAATAAATATTATATGTGGTACAGATGTTATGGCCAAATTTGGATGTTAATGACCTACAGTTTTTCCCAGATGCTTCCCTCTGTTCTCACCTTGCAAGCAAGTATTGAGATATGATGCAAATTATACTCCAGTCTCCCTGTCTTGAATGGGGAGGGGTTGGAAAGAATTTATGTAGGTTGTCTTGCATTAGCTATCATTCATGAGGCATGTTATCTCAGTGGTTATGCCATGTTATGTATAAAACTTATTAAAGGCTAAGAATAATCTCAGAGCAAAGCCGTAGGGATAATTAAGTAACAAATGTTCATGACTGCACTACCCACGGGCTTATTTATGTATTTTGTGATGTGTTCTTGTCTTGTGCAATATTTAATTATCTTCAGTTAATTATCACACTTTATTACTGTAGCAGCTGTCTGATAACACATGTGTTTGCCTTTGGGTCCTCTTTTCTTGTTAAGTAAATGGATTAGGGTTTGAGAAAATGTGGATACAAACAATTGTTTATTCCTCCAGTTTACATATTATGTCACTTGAATATTTACTTTTTGTACAGGATGAAGTAAGAGAGAATATTTCACGTGGAATGGCAATCCTGGGCCCTACGTTTACACTTGATGCCCTTGTTGAATGCCTTGTCATTGGTGTTGGTACAATGTCAGGTAAGCTGGGGAATTAGAGTTCAGAAAGAATTAAGTTTCAGGATCTTAACCGATTATATTATGGACACCTGTACAACACAGCAAACCATTGTGGACAGCTAGCCATATTGGCTCGTCATGTTGTGCAGACCTGGACCACTTGCACAGACAAACCATCCTGCCAACCTATGACTTGTTCAAGGAATTGTTCCTTTCCCGGTGGGCTGTTATGTTGTCTGAACCCAGGAAAGCAATTTCATTGCGCACTGCTTGGCAACAGCAGTGAAAATCCCAGCTGCTCTTTGCAGTTTCACTTGTGCTGCTCGCAGTGTCTGCCCCTCCACCAATGCCCACACAGCACTTGAGTGTGACTGTCGCTTGTTCGGTAACAAGCTGTGTTTGTATTATTACTATTGCTATTTGTCATTTTAACTGCTCTAATTACTGTGGTTCCTTGGTAGTTGTAAGATAAACCCTGAGGAAGTAGCTGAATGGGACTGAGTAAATGATGCCCCATTGTGGCGAGGCATGTAATGTAAGTACCCCTGATGCTGGTGGCCCATTTACTTTGTCCAGTTATGCCACCTCTGAGGGGGGTTTTTAAATTTCTGGAGTGCTTGTACAATCTTTTGGCCTGGGAAGTATGCACAAATTTAACAGCTGGCAAATAAATGGAAAAGAAATTTGTATTGTTGCATTAACTGCTCTGTCACTTTAAGTGTGCAGTTTTCCCTTCCATTTACTTCCCAATCAAATTTGCACAAATTTCCCCTCCAGTTATTTTCCAGTCATTAAATTTGCAAATATTTCCATCAGGTTAACACAAAACTTAGAGGGTGCCTGAATGGGGCAGAGCACATGGGGTGCCACCAACAGTACTTACTCCTCTCCCCCATTCATTCTGTCCCACACTGTCTCTTTCATGAGGTTTTTTTTTTTAAGCATCACAGAACTGCAGTAACCACAGCAGTATGCCCACAGCAGTGTATGTATGAACAATTCTAAGTGTGGGAGAAGTTACTAACTCTTCACCTCCCCCTTTGATAGACTTACTCCCTTGGTACTTTTTCTTATGCCCCCCTTCCATTTTCAGTGTTTCTGATTTGCAGCAATGGTTTCCTCTTTTTCATTCCTATTATTTCTTCCTGATAGGAAGCTTCATCCTGTCAGTTTACTTGTACATTGCCTGCTGCATTTCAGAGTTCCCATTTGAAGGATGACATGTGCAAGGAAATTAACTAAGCAGGGCATCAAGTGTTCATCCAAAAAAAGACTTGCAAAGGAAATAATAAGAAAAAAATTGTAACTCCAGTTGCACACTTTTGAGACTCTAGGAATAGCCAGGAACAGATAGGGGTAATATAGGCATGGGGGACAAGAGCAAGTAGGCAAGATGGGTTCTACAATTCCAGCAAATTTTCCTGGGGTATATGCTAGAGTTGGCTGGTGGACTGAGAGAGAAATAAAGGGAGAACAACCTGTGGCTAACCAATCAGCTGTTGGGTGTTCTGTGGGCTGTTCAGGAAACAACTTACTGTGTAGCCTTTTCGCAGGGTGGTGGTTGTACTAGTAGTTGTTATTTAAAACATTTGTATGCCACCCAATTGTGCCACAGCACCTCTGGGCAGCTCATAGTCGCAAGATAAAACACAATAAAAAACAACTACAACATATTAAAATACAATATCAATAAAATACAGACAAAAATACAAAACAAAGGGTTAGCTTAGTATTACATGTGAATTCCCACTATGTATCTTACTGCTTACAATTTGTCATTGACTTGGTTTGCATGATCACTGTGGTTAAACAAGCTGCATTCATCTAACCCATGTAAGTTAAACATGTAAAGTTAGTGCCTAGTTTCTGTGGCCTCTCTGTCTGTCAAAGTCCTGCAGGCACATATATCATGGTCTCTATTTAATGCCTTGCATCCCAATTGCAATATGGTCATTTATAGCAGCATGCAATACAGTGTCGAATAAGCTAGAATTGTTTTATAAACTTGTTGGAACTATTAGTTATTCACCTGTAATGCATTCTGGTATTCCATGAAAGATTTTATAGGTTAAGACCAGCACTTTGAAGTGGTTTTACTTCAGCGAATGGGGTGGCATAAAAATGTTTTAATTAAATAAATAAATAAAATATATAGACAGCCAATACAAGAGGACCAGAATGTGGATTATACATTCAGACAATCTGGTCCCAGTTATTAGTTTGGCTGCCACATTTTCCACAAGCTGCACTTTCCAAAAGTGTATTCAGGGGCAGCCCTTGTAAAGTTAATTGCACTAGTCTAGATTAGAATTACCAGAGCATAGGTTGCAGAAGCCAAGAGTGTACCTGGGCCACTAGCAGAATCTAGGAGAAGGCACTCTGTACCACAGCAACCTCCTGAGCCTCAAGTAACAAAGAAGTGGTACGTACCCTGAAGCTGCAAACCTGCTCCTTTAGGAAAAACATCACGTAGAACAGGTGGAGCATCTTCCATCTGTCAAAGAAACACCACCAACAGCATCTTGATCTTGTCTGGATTGAGCTTCAGATTGTTAGCTCTTGTCTCGTCCATTGTTGCAGCCAGGCACCAGTTTAGAGCATCCACAGCCTAATCTGCTGAAGATGAAAAGGAGGAATAGAGTTGCATGTCATCCATGTAATGCACACCCAAGCCCCAGACGACCCTGCTTCATGGTTTTGTGTAAATGTGATATAATGGGAAAGAGAAGACTGACCCCTGAGGTGCCCTGAACTGGAGAATCCATGACCCAAAGCAAATTCCCCATGTACCACTTTCTAGACGAGGAGAGCCACTTCAATGTAGTGCTGCCTACTCCCAGCTCAGTTGCCCCAGAAGGATACCATGGTTCATGTTATTGTTGCTCTTTTAATTTGATATTAGCATTGAAAGCAGTACTGTGAGCGATAACTAAAAGAATGGGGAGTTAAAAATATTAGATATGTAAATAGAAACTGCATAGGCCTGGGATTATTAATCAGATTTGTTCTGATACATTTTTAGTATGCCTGAAATCATCTTGCAGTTTAAAAAGCTTACTAGTCATGAGTAGCAAGCATCATTAACTGTTTCCAGTAGGAAACAGAATGGTAGAATGATTGTATGCTACCCACATGACTATTTTGTATGGTAGTGTTATATTGTGCAACACCATTTCAGAGCATGTTTGTAGTATATTTACAGTTATTTATGCAATACTTTCTTTGGGAAAAATGTGATTCATATTACTTTGTGTTTGTCTCCTTGACAGGAGTGAGACAGCTTGAAATAATGTGTTGCTTTGGCTGTATGTCTGTCCTTGCCAACTACTTCGTCTTTATGACTTTTTTCCCTGCTTGTGTGTCTCTGGTGTTAGAGGTAAGAGCACATCACCACAATCACCATTGTAGTAGTAGTAGTAATAATAATAACAATAACCAACTATTAAGATCTATATGCTATGATTCAGAACACAAAACACATGAAATGTTACTAATGGACTATAGGAGAAAGGAGAGTATAGGAGAAGGAATACTTATGGAGATCTGAGAGAGACTGTGGAATAAAGTTCCATACAGTTTGGTTAAATATAACAATAAAAGGAAACAGTTGCAAAGTTATGATAGTAATCCAGTTTTGGTAAATAAGGTAAAGAGGAATTCCTATTTTAATTTTAGAAATGTCAGAAAAAGTATGCTTATGTTGCATTTGGGAAGAATTTTCCTTGGAAAAAAGTTGTTAGTTTAAAAAAATTACTAAAATGGGAAGTGCTATTATTGTTCTGATTTACCCAGATACACTGACTGAAATGATAAGAATAATTTTACAAGGTTACTGCTTCCAGAGTTCTTGTTGTACTGTGTACAGATTAAATTTAAGAAAATGAATATGTAAAAAATGGAACTTTGTATTCGTGGTCAAATTAACTGCTCCATAGAGACTTAAAATAAGGAACACATTCATTGTAAACTCTGTGTACTAGTTTCCATTTGTTGATACTTTGCAAAAAAAAAAAAAAAAACCCAGTACTTTATGCCCAACTATGTAAATTGCAGTGCTTTAATTAGAGTAAGTTAAGATTTTTGGTAAGAGAGACAAAAATTTATTAAAGTAATGTAATGAATAAATAAGTATATGATTACACAATTACATAATTTAATTTAATTGCTTTATGGGAGGTATCCTAATAAATTTTAATAGTTTGTCATAATATTGTTAATAAGATTGTTCTGGAAATATTTTGTCCTAAGCTTTTAAAAAAACAGGAAAATATTATTGGTATATGTTGCAAAGTTTTTCCTGAGCAATTGAAATGAATGGAAATTACACACAACCACTTTTCTTCTCATGTCAAGCTCAGTGAGGCAGGAGAATTTTATATTGGGATGTTAGGTAATTCAAATAATATATTTATTTTTACATGGTACAAGCTGCAAAGAGTAATTGAACAACCACAAACTTTATAAACTGCTATTTTTGTTATGCTTCATTTGCCTGAAATGCTCTTTGGACTGCTTTTCAGGGTGGAACCTCAAAGCACAGTATGACGCATAGAAGCTACACAAAGTAGCTATAAGTTTTTAAAATTCCATAAATCCTGATTCAATAAAACTCATAAAAGCCAAGAATGGCAATTGACATATAGAGGGGAAAAATAAAATCTAATGACCCAGGTTTAAGGAAGACCTGTAGGAAAGGGGGCTCACCAGAAAACCTACGAAGAATGGCCCTAACCAAACCTTGATAGAAATTATTCCAGAGTTGTAGGGTTCCCACTGAGAAGGCCCTCTCCCTTGTACTTGCCAGCCCAGCCACCCTTGGCTGGGGAAGGTGAAAAGGTTCTTGGTTGATCTCCAACTCCAGGCAGGCTGGTATGGGAGAAGGCAGTGTCAGGTAACATTTGGCCTTGCCATCTAGGCCTTTAAAGATTAAACCCAGCACTTTATATTTGGTTCAGAAATACATTGACAGCCAATGCAGCTGGCGCAGTATTGCAGGAGTTGACTGCCTGGCCCCTACCAGTATTAGACAATTATCCTTTCCAAAACTGCTCCCCAATACCGATGATTCATACTGCAGGCATTAGACTTACGTTTGTAGCATAGGCACAATGCAGAAATATTCCAGTTGCTTCTGTTTTATTACATATTGAGTGTGTGTCTGTACATGTGCATTTCAAACTTGTGTTCATTAAGTTTGCTTTCAAGAGTCAATAGTTTTTAAGGTTAGAGTTTGTAAAATATTTCTCTATTTACATCTGCCTAGCTTATGAATATAATGAATGTAATAGAAGAGTGACCAATTGCTCAATAATGTTTAGCATTGTTTGCGTATTGAAATGTTAATTTCACATTCTGTATAATGTGACTTAGCTTTTAATATGATAATAAAAGATGATCCTTTGCAGAAGAGTGAATATGCATGCAGTCCAAGCAATTCTGTTCTTCCTGCAGCTTTCACGGGAAAGTCGTGAAGGCCATCCCATATGGCAGCTTAGTCACTTTGCTCGTGTTCTCGAAGAGGAAGAAAACAAACCTAATCCTGTAACACAGAGAGTCAAAATGATTATGGTAGGCCTTTGTTTTTGTTAAACCCTTTCAATCTAAGTGTCTTCATTAAGTCAAGAAAACAAGAGACTGAGTTTCACCAAATGTAATATATTCAAATGCCAAAACACTTGGCTATTAGTGCTTCCCCTTGGCAGGTGTATGATGTGCAAATAACAACAAAGGGTACCATGTAAGAACATGTGGCCTGGAGCTGGTTTGTCACCACCTGCTCAGGAACCTTGCCCAGGAAAGGAACATTTGCTTTCTGGTCTGAAGTTGTTAGAATCTTCTGGGTCTAGGGAGGGTTTCTTGAGCAGTGGTCTCAGCACTGCATCTTTTTTGTGGCATGGAGCCACTCCCTCTTGTCAGGAAGCACGAATCACCTCCCTTGCCCAGCTACTCTTCCCTTTCTGCTGTTTTTATTAACAAAGAGGGGCAAGGATCCAGGATAGTGCTGGTTACATGGACCTGTCCAAGTATCTTACCAGCATCCTTGAGCTGAACCAGCTAAAATTCATCCACTAAAACTAGCTGATTTACACTGTTATACAAGCTGTATACTCACTACTTTACATTGTAGCAAAGTGTCATTTCTTCAGGGTTGTCACATGAAAAGATAAAATATTTACAAAATGTGAGGGGTGTACTCACTTCTGTGATACACTGTAGTATGCTCTGAACAACCCTATAATCTCCATGGGGCAATAAATATAAAACAGAACAGAGGCAGTTGAGATGCTGTTTCTTTCCCATTCTCACTTCCTCTAGGTATACCTAATTATAGGCATATATCAAGGTTGGATTGCATCTACTAGAAGTTTTTCTCCATTTCTACTGAAGTAATCTCCTGTTTCATTTCTTCACTCTCAGCTTCAGAATATACCATGGAGCCATACAAGCTCTACCACAGAGAGGACACTCAGAAGCAGTCATGTCAAGTGTCCAGATCATCTCTGTTCCAGAGACTGACCAGGGTTTCAGCAGGACTGCTACCTATCTGCTAGAGCAGTGATGGCGAACCTATGGCACATGTGCCACAGTGGGCACACAGAGCCCTCTCTGTTGGCACGTGAACCAAGTTGCCCCAACGGCCATGCACATACTTGGAAAGAGTAACGGTGCCAGGCGCCATCACTCATTAGCCATGACTCGCTGCAAGAGGCGGTGTCGAACAGGTGGCCAGAGGCAGGTGTAGCAGCCATGGTGGGTGCACCAGGAAGGGAGTGGACGAGCAGCAAGCAGGTGTGCCGAGCACTGGTGGTGGCACCCTCCTCCTGCCTCCTCCTCCCAGCCTGCAACATGTGAGCGGCCGCCCAAGCTGCCCTCCTAGCGCAGTGGTGAGACCCTGCTGCCTTGGTAGCTGCATGCGCAGCCAGGCAGCCGCACACCCACCTGCTCCCGCACCAGTGGCGAGGAGGAGGAAAGAGAGGGCTCCTGGGATCAATATGGTACTTCCTGGGGAGGGAGGCCAAAACGAGGAAAAGTGAAGGCTGGAACTGCTGCAAAGCAAGAGGGATGGGCATGTGGCGGGGACCCCCCTCCCCATTCACCAAGGCTTGGCAGCGTCATGGGGGCAACAGGACAAGAGGCTTTTGGTTCTCACCCTGGCTTGTGCAGAAGGCTTGCACTTTGAGTAAGCTGAAGACTAGTATACCTGCAGTGAATTGGCAGAAGCAAACCCTTTAGTGCTGATCCCCACCTGAAACCACTCTCCTTTTTGATCCCAGGAAACACTCCAGCCACTCCCCAACTCCAGCAACCTGGAGGCAAATATTCCTGCAGGAAGTGGGCAAGCTTTTCTATATACTTTATTTTTGTCAATATATCAGTTTTTACCTTTAAAAAGCTTAACCTTCAGCAAGGACAGAAAAGAAAAAGTGAAAGGAAGGACTCAGATGCCATGTAACAAGTACAGTTTTCTTGGGAAAACTAGTTTATACAGTTAAACAGACCATACATTAACTTCTTGGCTTCCATTTCACTTCAGCTTTGTGATTGATGTCAGCTTTGACAGGTGTAGTATATTTATGCATATTTGTGGGTGAACTGACTAATGGTTTACTTTCTACATTTAGTCTCTAGGTTTGGTTCTTGTTCATGCTCACAGTCGCTGGATAGCAGAACCATCTGCTCAGAACAGTACAGCAGAAATTTCTATGGGACTGGATGAAAATGCACCAAAGAGAATAGAGCCTAATGTTTCCCTGTGGCAATTCTATCTTTCCAGGTGTGTTTAAATGTAATGTTGCTAATCAAGATTTAATGGAATACTGCCCTGATTTTAGATTATTTCTAATTATTTAAATTGTTCTATGCAAACGATCACAAAGCCAGTATTCCTTAGGACACAATCTCCTGGGGTGACAAGTGTGAGCCTGGAGGTTGGAGGCTCATGTAATGATTAACTTACATTGTTGTAACGAAGATTAAGTAGTGAATTGCATTTCTTTCTTTTTTCTTGTTCTTTTTTTAATCCTTCCAGAATGGCCAGTATGGACATTGAGCAAGTAATTACACTTGGCTTAGCTCTTCTTCTTGCTGTCAAATACATCTTCTTTGAACAGACAGAGATGGAATCCACACTTTCATTGAAGAATCCTATAACATCCCCATTGGTGATCCAGAAAAAAAATTCTGAAAACTGCTGCAGAAAGCAATCCCTACCTTTAAAAAATATTCCTAAATCCACTAAAGTAGAAGATGTTTCCATTTCCAAAGACGGAAAAGGTGATCCTTAATAACAGCTTTACTCAGTGATATTCTTAATGAATCCTTGGTAATATTCTTGCTTATATTAAAAATGGTTCATACTGATACTTGAGATGTTCAACCATGTGTGTTCATTCTTATTCTTTCCTTGATTTTAATATAGATGATACTATGAAGCCTTTCCTGCCAGAATCACCGATGAAGGCCACATTTGTGGTTGGTGGTTGTGCTCCTGCAGAAACATCCTTAGTCAGTAATAGAAAAGAGACTGGAATTGAATTGCCTAAAGAGCCACGCTCTGTCGAAGAATGTCTCAATATACTTCAGAATGCCAAGGTAAGCAAAGAGAACTATAGTTCTTCATCGTGGCCTCTGTGCATCACACATATGGGTACTGCGCCTGCGCAGTGCCTTTGGCCGGAAGATTGATAGCTAACGGTTTTTGGTGGGAAGCTCCGCTCCCCCTCCCCCTTGTGACTTATAAAGAGCGGAGCGTCCGCCATTTTGTTCAGTCTTTGCGACCGCCATTCGCTGTGCCTCATGCCGCTTTCGACTTTCATTTTGGCTATTCTCTCCTTATATATTGCCCTTATACTACTTTCCCCTTACTTCGTTTCCCACTTCTGTGTAGTTTTTCTCTTGTTATTTCTTCTTCGATCTATCAAAAACAAAACAAAAAATATATACTTACCCTCTGCACTATATCTCTTCTTTTTCTTCTTTTCTTCTGCGATGGCGCAGCGAGCGGCTTTCCGCAAATGTGCGGACTGCGGGTCAAAAATGGCACCTACTGACCCACACGACCTATGCCTCCTCTGTCTTGGAGAAGGGCATAGGACGGATAAGTGCGTTCATTGCCTAGCCTTCTCAAAGCAGGCTAGGAAGAACCGCGAGAACCGGCTTCAGAGGCTCCTTTGGGATAGGGCTCTGATGCAATCAGACCCGCTCGTCTCTATCCCAAAACCTGGCTCCGCTTCTGTGGCTCCACCCTCACGCCCTTCGGATGAAGGTGTGTCCGCTTCGGTGGCCCCCTCTGCTTCACCAAAAAAGAGGCATGAGAAGCGGAAGCATGCCGAAGAGAAGCCAGCAGGCCATAAGAAGGCCAGAAAGGAGGAGGCCTCTAAGCCTCCAAAGAAGGCTAAGTCCACGCACCGTTCCCAACATTAGGACTCGGAGCCGACGGGACCCTTGGTACCGGTGGCGGTTACGATACCGACCCCGCCCGAACCAATCCTTCAGGAGGCCATGTGGGTTACCCCTCAAGGGTCTCCCCAACGTGCAGTCGACCTCCCGCCTGCACCCCTTCCAACTTTACGGGGGTCTATTTCGGATGGGGAAATCCAGGACTCCCCTCCTAGAACGAAGTCACCGACACTGATGCCCGCGGTGACATTGGAGACAGAAGCTGGCCTGTCCCCACCAGGGAATCGGAGGAGCCGCTCGGTAGAGCAACGCCCGGAGAGTTGGCGTCGTCCCTATTACCAACCTTGGGGAGACCCGCTCTCTGTGGGGTACTACCCTGCTCCCAGTGCGCGATCGTCACCTCCGCCCCGTGACCAACAGCAGTCTGTGGATTCGAGGAGGGTACCACCTCGATCCCCGCAAAGCAGAAGCAGCCGCTCCTTCTCGCCAGTGGAATCATCATCTTCTGCCCCAACATACTGCGGTGCTGATTCGGATGACTCTGAAGTAGACTCAACCTCCCCGGACGTCGTGGTGACATCCCAGGATCCTGCGTCACCCGATGAGTCACACGTCTCCTTCGCGGAGCTGAGGTCGAGGCTTGTCCAGTCCCTGGACATCGACACTGCCCAGCGCCTGGGACCGTCAACGGACAAGTTTTATGACGTCGTCCACAGGGAGCAATCGACCTCCATCGTTCTGCTGCTTATAACTATCCTGCGGCAGGCGATGACGCAGTCCTGGGACCTACCTTCACATCCTCAGCCGACGTCCAGGAGATATGAGTCTGTGTACAGGATCTGGGAAGAAGACATCCCCTTCCTGCTAAAGCACCCGAAACCAAACTCGGCGATTGTCGAATCCTCGCAAGGCAGAGAGGCGAGGGGACATACAGCACCGAGGGATAAGGAGAGCCGGAAAATAGATTCCCTGGCCAGGCGGGTCTATGCTGCCTCGGGCTTAGGACTTCGCATTTCCAACTACGAGGCGACGTTGGCGTGATATCAATATTTTATTATGCAGTGCCTCCACAACGTCGCCTCCACCCTCCCAGACCACCAGGGTGACCTTGCGAAGGTCCTAATCAAAGAAGCCATACAGCAGTTGTCCACGGCACGTCACCACGTGGACACTGACTCCCGGGCATTGGTCGGTGCCGTTTCCCTCCGGAGACACACATGGCTTCGGAATTGTAATTTCCTGGAGGAAACCAAGCGGCGAATATAAGAGATGCCTTTTGATGTTTCCGGGCTCTTCCATTCATGTACCGACCGCAAACTCAAGAAACTGCACGAGTCAAGAATAACGGCGCGCAGGATGGAGATCCAGTCACACAGCAGACGGTGGTCCTGCAATCAGCCATCCTACAGGCAGTCATACCAGCAGAGACAGCTGCCGCAACACCGCCAGCAACAACAGCATCAACAGCGCCGCCGCCCTCAGTCCCAACAGCGCTTCCAACAGGGCCGCCGTCGTTTCGACCATCAGAGGCAGCGCTGACAGGACTGGCGAACCACTCCTCATGCTCCTCTAATACCCACCCCCCTCTCATCTGGGGATTGGCTCCAAAGCCGACTCCCCATTTGGGAGTCCATCACATCTGACCGGTGGGTATTATCCATCGTTCAACACAGCTGTCAAATTAGAATTTGACATCGTTCCTCCATCGAGTCCGATCCGGTCTGCTTCATGTTCGCCGGTACTTCTCGACGAAATACATCAACTTCTCCTTAAAGGAGCGATTCGTCAAGTATTTCCATCTGACGGACTTCACGGATTCTATTCCAGATACTTCACGGTCCCCAAGCGGGATTGTGGTCTACGTCTGATTTTGGATTTACGGGACTTGAATAAGTTTATTATACCGAGAAAGTTTCATATGACCACCCTTCAAAACATTTTGCTGTTGTTAAGGAGAGGGGATTGGTTCGCCTCACTGGACCTGAAGGACGCCTACTTTCATATTTCAATACATCCAACTTACAGGCGTTTCCTCCGTTTTGCTGTTGCAAACCAACTTTATGAGTTCACAGTTTTACCCTTTGGACTGGCTACGGCTCCGAGAGTTTTTACCAAATGCATGGCTCCTGGCTGTGCCTTCCTATGCCTTCAGGGCATACAAATTTACCCATACCTCAATGACTGGCTGTTGGTCTCGCAATCCAGAGAAGGACTCCTAGACACCATCCATACAACCTGTACCTTACTAGATAGTCTGGGCCTACGTATTAATACAGAGAAATCTTCTCTTCTTCCGACACAGACGCTCACCTTCATTGGAGCCCACTTGGATTCGACGTTGGAGAAAGCCTTCCTCCCTCAGGACAGACAGCAGACTCTCGCTTGCCATATCCATCGAATCCGACGAGAGGGAACGGTTACGGCGAGATCCATCCAGAGGGTCCTGGGGCATATGGCCTCCTCAGTTGCCATAGTTCCACATGCCAGACTTCGGCTTCGCCCACTGCAACTATTCTTCAACAAGGTGTATCATCCACAAAGAGACCCACAGTCGAAACGGATTCGGATCCCATCTTCCGTGCTCCACTCCCTGTGCTGGTGGCTGAAACCGACCAATCTCGTGATGGGAGTCCCCTTCAGGGCGCAGCCTCCTTCGATAACTTGGTACCGACACGTCTCTCCTAGGATGGGGGGCGATATGCTCTGGCCTGTCTACCCAGGGAACGTGGACTCGTCTAGAATCCACGAATCATATCAACTTCCTAGAGCTGCTGGCAGTCTTCAAAGCCCTTCGTTCTTTCGAAGACCTCCTTCGTCATCGGATCGTTCAGATAACTTCGGACAATATAGCGACCGTTTTTTATCTGAACAAGCAAGGAGGGACGAAGTCACCGACCTTAGCCAGGCTTTCTATGAGAATTTGGGACTGGTGCATTCAGAGACACATTACTCTGATGGCCGTTCATCTGGCTGGCACAGACAACATGCACGCGGATCTTCTCAGCGGACACATCTTCACTTCGCACGAGTGGGAACTGGATCCTCGTACGCGCAACCACCTGTTCAGGCGCTGGGGGCTCCCCGATGTGGACTTATTCGCTACTCGACGAAACAGGGTATGCGAGACTTACTGTTCCAGAGCGGGAATCGGACAAGCATCCCTAGGGGACGCATTCATGATCCCTTGGGACAACATCATCTTCTATGCTTTTCCTCCAGTCCCTCTTCTGATGAGGGTCATAGCAAAGATAGTGAGCGACCGTGCATCGGGGATACTAGTTGCCCCTTGGTGGCCACGTCAAGCGTGGTTTGCGAAACTGCTCGACATCTCCCGCGGGGAGTTTCTTCATCTTCCGGCACTTCCATATCTTATAACGCAAATGGACGGCACACTTCATCACCCGGACTTGCTCTCATTGAACCTGACAGCGTGGCAGATTCGATGATTGACCTTCCATTGGGGCAGACAACGGATTCGAGAGCCTCGAATCCGACAGCTTCTATTAATCCACCGGTATCGATGATTACTTCGCTTCGGTTCCGATTCTCAAATCCAACCATGCGGGTGCCTCTCACTGCCACAGTCTCTCCGTACCATCCGGTTCGAGACAGACCCCGTCGAATTCGAACCCAACGCTCTTGCACCCTGAGATTCAGCATATTACCGACTCTGCCCTAAAGCCATCCACAAGGAAGTCATATATGGCTAAATGGAAACGTTTTTACACCTTTGCCAAGTCTCATTCGTTCTCCCCACTTGTCTTATCAATTGAACAAATTCTTCAGTTCCTTCTAGAGTTGCATCACTCTGGACTGAAGCCGTCTTCTATTAAAGTGTATACGGCCGCAATAGCCTACTACCGTAGCTTAGTCGACAGATCACCCCTATTTTCTCATCCTATCCTCAAGAGATTTTTGAAAGGACTGTATAATCTTAATCCATCGATTAGACCAGTTATGCCCATGTGGAGCCTTTCTGTAGTTCTACAGGCCCTTATGAAGGCCCCCTTTGAACCTTTGGCGACTGTGGATCTCTGATTAGTTTCTTGGAAGATGGCATTCCTTGTAGCTGTCACGTCAGCCCGAAGGGCCAGTGAATTTGTGCCGTCCACATCGACCCTCCTTATCTAAACTTCCACAGAGAAAAGGTCGTTTTACCCATCTTTCTTGCCCAAAGTCTCTATACCTTTCCATACAGGACAAGACATTGTACTGCCTGCCTTTTTTCCATCGCCGTCGAATCCCTTGGAAAGATCCTTGCACTCCCTCGACGTTCGGCGTTGTTCAGCCTTTTATCGATCGCGAATGGAGTCTGTTCGGCGATCCAATAAACTGTTCATCAAATATTCGGCTAGAGATCAGGGCGACCCAGTCACTCCACAAAGGCTTTCTAAATGGATAGTCCACACTATTGTCTTGTGTTATCAGTTAGCTAAGCTCGAATTGCCTTCAGTTCCTCGAGGCCATTCTACTAGAGCTGTCGCTACATCTTCGGCATTGGCATCCAGGGTTCCGATTGATGACGTCTGCAGAGCCGCTACTTGGGTGAATCCCTGCACTTTCGCCAAGCATTACCCTCTTGATGTTCGGGCTCGACGGGACTGCTCCTTCGGTAGAGCTGTTCTCTCCTCCGTCCTTCAATGAGGACACCTTCCCTCCTCCTTTGATGGTAAGCTTGTTAATCTACCCATATGTGTGATGCGCAGAGGCCACGACGAAGAAAAGCAGGTTGCTTACCTGTAACTGATGTTCTTCGAGTGGCCATCTGTGCAGTCACACAGCCCGCCCGCTGGCCCCGCTCGGTGTCGGTGAGTGGATGCATCGACAGCTCAAAGTCGACGAGAGAGGGCATTTTCGGTACCAACCATCTCCTTTACGGTACCGACAAAAAAAAAAATCTATTAAGATACCGTATGTTCAGTCACAAAGACTGAACAAAATGGCGGACGCTCCGCTCTTTATAAGCCGCAAGGGGGAGGGGGAGTGGAGCTTCCCGCCAAAAACCGTTAGCTATCAATCTTCCAGCCAAAGGCACTGCGCAGGCGCAGTACCCATATGTGTGACTGCACAGATGGCCACTCGAAGAACATCAGTTACAGGTAAGCAACCTGCTTTTATCTATTGCTTTAAAGGATCCTCAGGCAAACCATTTTTTTGCACAATATTTTTGTAGAAACATTTTTCCATGGATTGCAATGTACATTGTCCACCTTGTTGATATGATCTTTACAAGTTTTGAAAACCTCCTAATTTTTGCTCTTACTGCTTTATAATAACTGAAATATTCAGTAGCTGGGTTCAGACATAAAGTGAAACCACAGTGGAAACCACTGTGGCATGGTTTGTCATGTGGGAAATCTGTCAGAGACTTACCACATGCTGCATTCAGTGGTATCCACTGGGTAGATGCCTGATAGCTTGGAGTGAGAAGCTAGGGGTACAGCTCAGTGGCAGCGGCAGACTGCTGGTTTTATTAACATATGGCATACTTTTCTTTCTGGTACTGCCACCCTTTCCCTGCACCCAAGTCCCCATTATGCTGCAGAAATAAAGACATGATTTGCAACAGCGTTCCAGGTTCTTGTTGGGAGTGGCTGTGGAACTGAATGGAGAGGAGGAAAAGTCAGTGCCAGATGAGGCCTCTCACAACACAGCCTGGAACAGGGAAGAGGCTGCCAGGATGAGCTGCCTCTGCACTTGATGGTGTGAACAGAGGTGCGGGAGGAGGCTGGCTGTAGCCATTGTGCGTGAGTGGGTGGGGAGTGTGTGAGGGGGTAGGCAGTGAGGTGGCCTATGGCAGTGTGTGCACCATAAGAGTATGAATATATCTGTAGCAAGGGAGGGGCAGGAGGAGGTGTGATGTAAGCATTAGGAGTGATGGAGTAGGCTTTGATGTAAGCATTGAAACCATGCTCCATGGTAACCACGCAGTATCCAAAGAATACAGATGAGCATTATGCATGAATGGAGCCAGTGTGAGTAGAATGTTAGTTTGGAATCTATCTACTGGTCAGTAAACTTACACATACAATTGAATGTTAGTGAATCTTACTTTCTTGGCTGCTGATTGATATTTTAACAGATTCTTTGCTTAATTATAATGTTGGTTTTACTGTGTGTGATGCCTTACTGAGAGAATATAAATAAATAAATAAATAAATAAATAAATATAAATAAATAAATAAATAAATAATGAAAATGGTAAATTAAATGTGTGTTTTCTCTAGATGGGTGTAAAATTCCTTACTGATACTGAAGTCATAAGTTTAGTCAATGCAAAGCATATTCCTGCTTACAAGCTAGAAACTTTGATGGAAACGCAGGAACGTGGTGTGTCCATTCGTAGACAGATGTTATCTCAGAAGCTTCCTGAACCTTCTTCCATACAGTACCTTCCTTACAAGAACTACAATTATTCCTTGGTGAGTTGAAATATCACTTAGCAAACAAAAATGTGCAGGATTGTTTAACTGGGGAATACAGTGTCCTGTAATTCTTGATTTGGACTGCAATTCTAATTCTTGATTTGGAATGTGGTCATCAATAGCAGATACAAATTTGCAGCCTGAAAGAAATGACAGGGGAGATAATCGGATGTGCTTTGGTTTTGAGCAGCCGGTGTAGCCAGCAGAAACATTGAGTGGGTTCACCTGTTCATGCTCATGGAGGGCAAACAAGCCACCATAGATTATCTTCCTTCCCTGTGCATGCTGGTCAAAAGCTACCCACACCAGAACCTGAAGGATGCTGTCTTGTGTGGTTTACAAACCACTTTAAATCCCTAGAATGAACCATGGGCTTTAGGGTGGTTTCTAAACCACTTTGGGCATTCACTCTTGCCAAGATTGGACGTCACAACAACCCAATGCCTTACGAGTGTAACTATATTAAATAGGTAGCATTCCTTCTGTGATTATGTGAAACCAGTTGGTGTCTGTTTAGGTTTTCTGTTGCTTTTACAACTTTAGCAAATAATCGGCATGCATTTTTCTTTCACACATTTTCTTCCCAGTATGTGAAATTACCATTTCAAATTTGTATAAGTTCTATTTCCTAGTTTGCTGCAAGCATGCACTTGTGTAGATTTATTAGTAGGGCATGTTTTGAAGTTCTAGCAAACTTAACTAGAGGTGTTACCATTAAAAATAATTTGCTTAATTCTGCCATATGGCATATTAATGAGATCTAAAGGATAATTATACAATGCCTGTGCAGCTGAATCTGGTTTATATGTGGCACATAATTTTGCAGTTGCATTGAATAGGAAACCTGGAAGAAAATTGTTTACTGTTTATATCACAGTAGGATTAAACCTAAATACTTCATCCTACTGAAGTAGCTTGTTATATTTGCTGTTGTCTAGTAGATAAAGTAAAGTAACTTAATTGCTCCTTTAGGCTATTGTTCAAGAAGTATCTCTTGCTATGTAATAGCAAAGCATTTTTTTAAGTATTGTCCTTTTTTGTTAAGGTATTGGGTGCCTGCTGTGAAAATGTGATTGGATACATGCCAATCCCAGTGGGGGTGGCTGGTCCTCTTCTTCTGGACAAGAAGGAGTTTCAAGTTCCTCTGGCAACCACAGAAGGCTGTCTTGTGGCAAGCACAAACAGGGGGTGCAGAGCAATATGTGTAAGTATGGATCCCACAAACAGGACCAGTAGGCTCTGTTTTAAGCAGCTGATGGAGTTTGCACTGTGTCCTCTTGTTGCCTGTCCACCAGCAGGTTGGACACTGTAGCAGAATGTGTTCTCCCTCCCCAGGCAGCCCCCAGCTGATAACTCCCTTGAGCAGATTCTGGGGGTGGGGTAGATAGGAGTGCAGCGTTAGGAGAGGAAGTTCGCTTGTGTGATCAGACGCTTCTGTGCAACTCTACATAGCTGCTGCTCTGGTTACCAAACCTGAATATTTCCTATTATTTTTGTTACATTGCATATCTGCCCTGCCTTTTTCCCTCTTGTGAGGAAACCAAGGTGGTTTACGTAGTTTCATTTCAATTCTAGTCATTGATCATACTTTGCCTTTTTATTTCAGCTTGGTGGAGGTGCCAGCAGTCGCATTCTGGCTGATGGAATGACACGAGGGCCTGTGGTAAGGCTACCCACTGCCTGTCAGTCTGCAGAAGTGAAGGCTTGGCTTGAAACACCAGAGGGATTTAAGATAGTCAAAGATGCATTTGATAGCACAAGCAGGTGAGCATTTCATATAGGAAAATACAAAGGGTGTGTACGGGACCTAGGATTATGTTGCGGCAAAGCAATCTAAAGCAAATTATGTAACAGTGCACTTAACATGCTAACCTAATTAAACATTTCTATTATAGGTTTGCTCGTTTACAAAGACTTCATATTTGTTTGGCTGGCCGCAACCTTTATATTCGCTTCCAATCTAAAACTGGTGATGCAATGGGAATGAATATGATTTCAAAAGTAAGCTCCAGAATTTGTTCTGTTTGTTTAAAGATAAATTACTCTACCACATTCAAATCCTTTTCTATTAGGATATCCCAGGAATAAGGGAGAAAAGATTAACAGCCAGAATTTTCTTTCCATGTGCATGTACATCTACTTGTGTGTAAAGGTGCTTTGCTCAAAAAAGAAAATGGTATTGTGATCCAGTGTAAAGGACAGCTGTTTGGGATTTTAGTACCAATTTCTTTATGATTGGCTCAGTTCCTAGTTGATAAAATGGGAACAGTCTTGGCAGAGTTCTCTTGGAAGGTGAATGAAATGTGCACTCTTCACAATAACATTCTCTCAGGGCCTGTGTTCTGTATCCTGAAGGGCAGGATGTTCTGGCTGCAGTTCTATAGCTCCATATTATGCTTGATTTGCTTATACTACCAAATCTAGTGTGTGTGAATAAGTTTTTTTGACTTGCAAGGGGAAGGCCTTGATCCGGTGAAGAGACTTGCCCAGTAGAAAGGAGGCTGCTCCTACTAGTGTCCTTCCTCCCACCGGTCACATCTCACACTCTTCTGGATTATTGTTCGGCTCTTCAGAGCAGATTTTCAGTGGACAAAAAGAGTTGCAAAGAAGGGGTGAATTGTCTAAACTCGCACACCCCGTAGAAGCATGACTGAGTGGAACTTTGCTCAAGCCACCTCCTGCTTGTAAAAGCAAAGACTGAGTCCAAGCCAGTCTTCAGCACAGCATGCCATCCACACATGTCTTAAGGAACAGCCGTTGTCATGAATGAAGTTATTGCTTGAACTAATTTTGAGAAAGTTAACTTTGAGCTTATTTTTTAAGTATTTTGCACATTGTCTCTGGAGATGTGTAGCAATGTGTTACTAAGTTTTACATTAAATCACCTTTTATATTTTAAACAATCTTGCATTAATTCCCTTGAAGAGAGATCATTCTATACTGCAGAGTGCGATAACTGGTACTCAGAGTATTTCCTCTTCTTACCCCACTCCCATCTCTCTGAACAGGGTACTGAGAAGGCACTTGCAAGGCTGCAAGAAGAGTTTCCTGATCTCCATGTAGTAGCTGTTAGTGGTAACTACTGTACAGATAAAAAACCAGCTGCTATAAACTGGATAGAGGGGAGAGGGAAGTCTGTGGTCTGTGAAGCAGTCGTTCCAGCAAAGGTTGTTAAAGAAGTGAGTACTTCCTCTGTGCACCAGCATCCTTTAATGCTACATGTTATTAAATTGTTGCATGAAATTCATTTTAAACCACCACTGGGTTTATTTACATTTCTCTTTGTGCTGTTATTTATGGCTTGTTTATGGTTCCCATGTGGCAATTCAGCCTGGCAGCTTACAAAGCTAAAGCTGTTTAACTGCGCCATAGCACAGCACCTGCTTTAGTAGATATATTAAGAGTTTCTGTCAAATTATGACTTAGAAATAGGGCAGTCTGGTGATATTTCAGGTTGTGTGCATATTCCCTTTTGTTAAGGATTGGAAATGCATTGAGCATTTCGCTTTCCACAACAATTAGTTTCATTTCAGAGAGCTTCCATCTAATTTTTATGGGGTTTGTCCTAGGTACTGAAGACGACCACGGAAGCTATGATCGAAGTCAATATAAACAAGAATTTGGTTGGCTCTGCAATGGCTGGCAGCATAGGTGGCTATAATGCTCATGCAGCAAACATCGTTACTGCCATATATATTGCCTGTGGACAGGTATGTTGTTTATATAGTTTACTGTGTGTGACAGAGAGAGAAGTTATGTATTTGAGATGCTATTAAAGCTAAAACGTATGCTACATTTATCTCCTGACTGTAGGATGCGGCCCAAAATATCAGCAGCTCAAACTGCATCACACTGATGGAATCAGCTGGTCCAACCAATGAAGATCTGTATATCAGTTGCACAATGCCCTCAATAGAAATTGGGACTGTGGGTGGCGGAACCAACCTATTACCACAGCAAGCTTGTTTGCAGGTATGAAGCATCCATGGAAATAAATTTGCTAAATGGCAAATGCGGTTCAGTATAAGTTAGTTTAAAGTGATGCATGTTGGGACAAAAAAATCCCAATTTCAAAAACATGCTGCTGGAATCAGAACTGGCAGCAACAAAGCAAGAAAGGAATCTTGGAGTGGCAGTGGACACCTCAGTGAAAACGTCAGCCCAGCATGGAGCCTATGTAAAAAAGGCAAACCCCGTGCTAGGCCTAATTAGAAACCAAATAGAGAATGGAGCTTACTCCACTTGTACAGAGCCTTGGTGCAGCCTGTTTTGTTCAGTTCTGGTCACCTCACCTGAATAAGGACATTATTGAACTAGACAGAATACAGAAAATGGAACAAAAATTATCAAGGGACTGAAGCATCTCCCCTTTGAGAGGTGGCTGCAAAATCTGGGAATGTTCAGCTGAGAGAAAAGGCAAGTAAGGGGAGACTTGCTAGAAGTGTTAAAAATTATGTACAGAGTGGAGGAAATGGACAGAGAGAGAGATCATGCCGTGAAGGTGATTGGGGGGAAGTAGACAAGAGAAAGCACTTCACACAATGTATAGTAAAATGATGAAATGAACTGCCTCAAGAAGTAGTGGTGGCCACAAATATAAAAGGCTTTGAAAAGGGCTTGGGTAGATCCATGAAATAGAGACTCTGTGGCTACCAGCATCACTGGCTATGTGCTACCTGCTTCACCAGTTGATGAGGAGCCTGGGCAGGCGATGATCCTGCAGCTACCCTTCTTGAGCAATTCTGTGGGCAGCTAGTTAATACCACGTGTACAGAATGCGGGACTAGATGGACTGTTGGTCTCATCCCTAACCCTGCCCACGTGTAAATCATACTGTGAATCTTTCTTGCAGTCTGTGGCACTCTTCTAGCTCAGATTATTTTGCAGTGGCTCCCACTTTTATTCATAGCCTTGCTTCATTATTTGATTTTTATTCTGAGTACATGGCTGCAATAAATGTCTCTTGTATACTAATGGGAAATGTTTGCTCGTCATTGCCTGTGTTGGGGGTTATATATCAATGTTGGTAATGCCAGAGCTGGCGGAGGTAGTTTTCACCTCATGCTTCACCTATACTGTATGTCTTCACGTGCATGTGCACACCCAATGAAACATTAGGCCCCCATTTTTCTCTCTTGCAGGATCTGTTGAAGGAAAAGGGGTGGGGGAGCTAGAAGCAGAAGTCAGGGCAAAGTAGCACAACGGTGTCAACGTGGCTCACCCCCGTGCATGGCAGCAGTGTCAGGGAGAGGGTGTACCTAAGGCAGGGGTGTGGCTGAACGAGTGTCGTGAGCTGAGTTCTGAGGTCTCTCAGGCCACGTTAGACTGACAGGCCATCGATTCTCCACAACTGGGCTTGGCCGTATTTCTCCAAGGCCTCATGCAGAAATGTTTCCCACAGGGGATTCTTCACCTCAAGTTGCAAGACTTGGGACAATTACATCTGGGACTTTATGTGAATATAAAGCTTGTGGCTTTGGAGCCTACTTTTTCATGTTTCTGTAACTTTGTACTGTTTCTTGGAAGCTCCCAAGAAGCAGAACATCCTTAAGCGAACATACTCCTCCCTGTTTCTAGAGTATGTTATCTCTTTCTGATTACAGATGTTGGGAGTGCAGGGAGCAAGTACAGACAACCCTGGAGAAAACGCCCGCCAGCTTGCCAGAATTGTGTGTGCTACAGTCATGGCAGGGGAACTCTCCCTCATGGCTGCCCTAGCTGCTGGGCATTTGGTCAAAAGCCACATGATCCACAATAGGTAAGAAGGAAACTGACCTACCTGGGGTTTTTAACATCTTGTCCCTATCCTATACACTGATAACCAACAAACTATATTCTAAAACTCGAATTAATGTGAACATGTGCCTCTTATTTTCAACAGGTCAAAAATAAACCTACATGATCTTCAAGGAACATGTTCCAAGAAAGCTGTTTGAATATTGATAGAAACTTGAAGCAAAGCATTGCTACGGCAAATTGAAAAATGAAAAACACATGATCTGTGAATTTTAGAAGGAAGATAGTAAGTGCAGTAAATTGTTGAAAGACACTTGAGAGTATCAGTGGATATGTACTCCACCATGGTTTGCTGCATCCTTTCCCTTTTTTGCCATGAAAGGATGCTTCTCTACGAGAAATACGTCAGAAGGTTTTAATTTTGACAGGATCCTTAGCTTGTCCTGATTCAAACATTTTACAGAGTAAGGTTCCAGGTGGTCTGTCCAACCTTATCCAAAAGGATTACCCTCTATTCTTTTTGGAATGAAAATGCTCTGGCTGGCACACTACTGAGGAGAAATACAAGTTCTATAACTCAATGTTTTTGGTTTTGTTTTTAAACCAGTTTACTCAATTAGTTGCTTTGCAATATTCTGATCACTGTTTTCAATCTAACCTGGTATGTTGTACATAAAGAATCTACAGCAGCCACAAACCTGGAATATGTTACCATTCCTTTGGGTCTAGGAAATAGCTGGTTTCACAGTTCTACCAAATCAATCTCATTTGGGCAGGAGGGGGATGAAGAGAGTGGCCTTCTGGTTCTTGGTTTTGTTTTCAAATTTCTGGTAATTACCTTCAAGTCTGATATAACTGCTTCTTACAAATGTGTTAACCTAAGTTTTAGACATTGGAAAATTGAACTGAATCAAATGGTAATACTATAAGCCTCTTTTGGAGAACTTCACTTTCTGTTGCGCTCCATCTACATATTTTTAATGCTAATCCTTCCACCTTTAAAGAAAACAAGAATGTCTGCAATACCAGTAAACTTGGTAGAAACTCTATTTCAAGGCATAGAACCACTGAGTTAAAATTCTCAGGTGTTTTGCTCAGATACTTTGTTTATCTTGCACAGGGGTAAAGAACTTAGGTGCACAATCCGCTGGGATGTTCTCCTGGGCGAGTCCTGTAAGAAGGACTAGCAGCTGCTGAGGAGCACTGTATTAATTTCAGTGGTGCTTTTCTGAAGTGAACTTCCCAGTGGACTATATTCTTGGTAAAGTTTAAACGGTGTGGGTTGTTCAGTGGGAATGAAAGCAAGTCAAAAAGATGTTTACAATTATTCTCAATCATCTCTTTAAAGTATGGTGTGAATTTCTTCTGTGGAAATAGGTATGTGTCTTGAAATGAGAGCTGTTAAAGTCATGTATCTTTATTACTGAAACTTCCATTTCTTTTCCTGAAGAAATTGTAATTTATTTGGAGGGAAATTCCAAGTTGCCTACTTTTTTTTAAAGAACTACTAACTATAGGATTTGTTGAAATGATGTTAGAAGAAAAGCAAGTGCAGCAGAATTACCTGCATTTCAATGAAGTGTACCATAATCCTACATGGGAGAACCAAGCTGAAGAAGGAGAGCAGGAATACCGATGTACTTCTCAGTTGTCGGATGTAATGATGGCTCACTGTTCCAAGCTGGTTTGAAGACTGAGGTCCTTTAGACTTCCTGTTGGAACTCATGAGGCCCCTTTTGTTCAAGTTCAGTATACATTGTGGCACTCCTTGATTGTTAATACAAGTCTCTAATTTGTACCTGTTAGGTCCATAAAGCTAATGCAAGTCAACACCTATTACTTGCTAAGTATGTGCTGTGGCTACTTGTAAATAGCATCATGAATGTCAATCTCCCTACAGTATTGCTGTCCAACAGTTCCTTTTTTTCTTATTTATGCAGAGTTTGAACTTAACTGATATTATTTAATGCAACACTGAGCTAGCAATAAATGGTTTGTTCAGTGTCCATTTTGGTGAATGTAACTGACATTGTCTTTCAAAAAAGCCATTTTGTACTATTACAAAATTGTGTACATTTTGGTACGGATACTTTTTCAGTTTCAGTAAAACAGTGCAAAAGCAAAGTTGATGAAGTTGTGTTAATTTAAGTGTAAATACTAACATGATCCTTTTCATGTTGCTCTCCAATAGACTTTGCAGTAGAAAGTTGCCAGAGTGTCCATTTTCCAACATCAGAGACAGGCTGGGATATCTCAGAATTTTCCTCCATTGTATACTAGTGCAATGCAGAATGTTCTGGTAGCACACAAACCACCTCGGAATAGAAACAAATGTCAAAATGCAGAACTGACTTTGGACAAGGGTTTATTCGTAATGGGGGAGAACTGGACAACTTCTCATAATGCAGCTCAAATGCACCTTCTCTCCCACCCTAGCTGACCCAGAGCAGGAAAAAACTGGCAAATCCAGTTATGCTGAGCTTTGATGGCCATTTCCATGGTCTCTGACCTGCTTGACAAACTCACCATGGGAACCAAGGAATATGACTAAATCATATCTTCCTTCCCCAGGCTTAACTGATGGATGTGGTACAACAAGTACCCAATAAAGCTGATTGTTCTCTGTGACGAGAGAGCTGCCAAAATGGAAAGCAAATGGGGAGGACAGGAGAGCGCTTAATAATATAGGTGCTGTGAAAAAAGGTAAACTCATGTCGGGCATAATTAGGAAGATAATTGAAAACAAAACTGCCGACATCATACTACTCTTATGCAAATCTTTGGTGTGACCATGCTTGGAATAGTATGGAAAAGTACATTGGAAAAACTAAAACATCCATGATCCTCTGCACCATGCTCTTGATCAAACCTTTCATGGGCCTGTGAGCTATCCAGGATCCCTGAAAACGACCTAGAGAAAGACAGTCTGGTTGGAATGAAACAAGAAGTTGAAACTCTTCTTTCACCTGACGCTAAGCAGGTTTGCTGAAGTAAAAGTTCTAATTGTATCAACAGGAGAGACTGCAGAACTGTTGTGAACTGCCCAGAGAGCTTCAGGTGGTGGGCAGTATAAAAATCAAGAGGTTGGAGAAGTGATGACAATATTGATACAGTTTAGCTTAGGAAAATGTCAAGATATAATAGAGTTGTTCCAAGATTATGCACAGTGTGGAGACTTTTCTCTCCCTCTTCCATAATGCTAGAACTTAGGCTCGCCCCATGAAGTTGATTGGTGGAAGAGGCAGGAAAGATAAAAGGTAGGATTTCACATACAGCGAATGGAATTCAGTGTCACAGGAAGTGATAACGACCATCATGGACAGATTTAGAGGGGTTTGGGTATGTTCATGGAGGAGCTGACTCAGTGGCTACTAATCTTGATGGGCATGTGCTGTTTGTGGTATCGGGCAGCATGCCTATATGCACCAGTTGCTGGGGAGCTTGGGCAGGAGGGAAGGATTATACACAAATCGCTTGAGAGATCTAGGCAGCTGCTTTTCCATAGGTGAACATAGTGCTAGACTAGATGGACCATTGGGCTGATCCAGCGCAGCTATTCTTGTATGTCCAAGCAAGAGAGATGGTAGTTCATCCTCCAAATTTACTAGAGTGCTCTTTTCATATATTTCACAAACATCGCAGCATTCCCATTCTTGCAAACTTTTTCAGGCACTGGATAGATCAAAGGCACCACCCCAGATGTACACGTTGTGTATATGTTCCAGCCACTACCAGGGAAGGAGTTGGTAGGCTTCCTTCATCGCTTCAGAGAAGGTGAATTGTCAGAGGAGGAAGCTATACAAAATGTTGCTTGGGAGAGAGTTTTGTCTAAACTGTCTCTACTAGGAGATACAAAAAGGGAGTTTGCTGAGCAGAGACACAAACCAATTTAACCAAGAGCAAACTTGAGAACAACATAGGTAGCTCCTCTATGTTCAGTGCCTTGCAACAGTAGTCACCCTCCCTTTGATTTTTTTCATATGTTGTGTAACAACCTGGAATTAAAATGGATTTAATTACCATTGTCACCACTTGATGTCCAGAAGATAGTGGCTGTGAACTTGCAAAATATGTTTGCTGTGCCACGCAAATAAAAAGATGGCACTGCTGGCAGCATAAGTATTCACCTCCTTGGCTAGGTATATGCCTATATAAAATGTGGAGCAATTGACTGCCTCTAGAAATCATCTAGTGTATGTGACTGGAACCTACCTGTGTGCAGTTTCAGTGCTACATAATCCCAATTACTCCAGTTTCTGGAAGGCCTGGATTTTCTGAAGAGCCTAACCAAAACAACATGAAGACCAAGGTGCTATGAAAACAACTCTAGAATAAAGTTGTGTAGAATTACCAGTCAGGATATCATTGCAAAAAAAAATCCCACGCTATGAGCATTCCCTGGAGCATCTTTCTTAATTCAAAGTGCACAGGAACAACAGAACAAGCATTTTATTGGACTTGAAACCAGTGTGGCAACAATAACAAACACTACATAGAATAAAACCTAGGGTCTATTGGATATGGTGTGCAGGGGGTGTGGTGTGTGAGATCAAGCAGTAAATCCTTGTCATCTTGAACGTGACGTCTTTCAAATAATGTTCCTACCTTTGCCTGTGAAATGTTGAAAGACAACGTTTAGTAATACAAATGTAAAAATCATCACTACTGTTCCTATCTTTAAATCTTAGATCAAGGAGTCTTGCAGCAGTGTGATCACCTGCGACAATTTTGAGGGGGTTGGGACATGATCTGGCTTCTGCTGCACTGTTTGTGGGGGTGGGGTGGGGAGGCACAGTTTGCTGGTTTGCCTCAAGCAGTAAGGCTTCCTAAACTGCTCCTGGGATGCAGATTCCTTAAAAATTGCAAAAAGAGTTACCTTGTTCCCTCTCAAAACATACTTCACCTGAGGACATGGATCAAACACAGTGCAAGCCCAGATTCTTCTTTTGCCAGACCACATGAGCAAGATGAGAGAAGCTCCTAGCCCCCAAGGAGCCAACTACACCAATCACATGTTCCCCGTATGTGTATTGGGCCCATGATGTCCTGCCTGGGCTTCCTTCCATGGGCCAGCTTATACTCAAGCCCCTTCAGAAGCTCCTGCTCTGTTTCAAGACAGTACTGCTCAAAGGCTCCATCTGGAGGAGTTTTTTACCAGCTCTGTCAGGGCATCCCTGCTATAGCAGGGAAGCCATCTCAGAAGAGGAGCAGACGGTTCCAGGATCTTTCACAGATCACTGTAACTTCCAGTGACAGTTCAGAAAGATGGGATACACATTGTCGGTTTCAATTTGGACAAAGGCCCTCCATTTCTCAGGGCAATCGGCACATTAGAAATTGTCCAGAACTGAGAGCAACACATCTGGTGATAAAGCATTTTGCCCCACTACTACTGTCCAGATATGTACTGGTTGGTGAGAGCAATGAAAGAGAGTAGCTTAATCCCTCTTTTTTCACTGGGAGGCTGCAGTGCTCCTGCCCTGAACAGAGAAACATCTTTCCTTGGTGACACCCACATTCAGGAGTCACTAAATGGCCAAGCAGACCTCGGCTGGACAAAAATCTCCCCAGGGGAGTGGAGCCTGTCAGATGTGGTCTTCCTGATACTACAAAACAGGAGCCCCCCGAGGGCGGACTGGCTTGCCTCCTGCCACAATCACCAGCTCACTGGGTGCCACGGCAGGGTCCTGGCTCCAGAGGCAGAGGCTCAGGATGGGCTAATCAGTCCCCAGCTAAAGGGATCTCTACCTGCCTTCCCTTCATTCCTCTACTAGCCTCCTAAGGAGAGTCAGTATGGACTACGCCAAGACCGTAATTAGCAGAACCCTCCTGCCCTCGGCAGTCATGGTTTCCAGCAATTCTACAGCCGGTGTGCGGCAACCCATGGCTTTTTCCAATCTCCCCACATCTCTTACACCATGGAAGCCTGTAGAATCTTTGGAATTTACATCCCTGTAGTTCCAGGATACAGCTAGCCAACGCCTTCTTCTGTAAGAAGGTTTGAACTCAAATCTTGTAGCCTTCCTTGCCACGTATCAACCCTACGCAGTGGCAGGTGGAGGCCAGTGAGACCGAAGGGGCAGGAAACCACCCACCACAGATGCAGGAAAAGTGTTGGTGGCATCCCAGCACTCGAAATAGAAGTCGCACCCTGCCCACGCAGCCCTGGCACCCTACACTGGTTAATAGAAATGCTTGAACAGCTCCGGACCTCTAAACTGATAATCAAAAATGTCCCATCAGCCTGAGTTTATTAGAACTCTCAACTTCCCCCCACCACCGAGCACAGCAATTTTTTAAACCCCACAACACAAACACAACAGATGGGCTTTCAGGGCAACCCCTCCCCTTTGAATTCCAATGGAGGGTTTTCTCTCCTTCTTTGAACCATTCTCGGGGGAGTGTAATTGAGTGGCAAAAACCAGTGAAGGAAGTTCAGTTAAGTGAGGGTATCCCTGCCTGAAACGGCTTCTCTTGCTCCAAAAGGTCACTGGGTGGATAGCAAGGTGGAGTGAAGGCTATCCAAAAAGAGGAGGAGGCTGGGCAAAGGACATGCCTTTTCATGACTTGGGTTGAACCACTACAGGTTACCATGCTGAGTTGCTACGCAATGGCAGCAAGGAGCGCCCAGCAGCACCATCCATTGTAAACCCCTGGAGGAGGTTCCTTCTTCTTGCTCTGCTCTGGCATGCGGAAGGGCTCCTCCTGCAACATGTCATGTACCAAGGCTGCGGAAGGCCACAATGCGCTTCGCAGGAACGGTGGTCATGCCAGCTACTTGCAGTACAGGCACTAAAATGGAAATAGGTCAGTTTGCTACTTGGTCCTGCTCTTACATGATTGCCAAATTTTACAAGTTGATTTCCTGTGACTTGGTAGAGGCTGCCTTCTTCCGTCGAACCCTCCCAGTTACTACCAATAAACTGTGCATATCCCATGCAGGTGCATTCTGCTCAGCCAGGGAACAGAATATCAGAGGCAGTGTGCCAGGGTACCCCAGTTGCTGGGAAACTTTGACACAAAGGTGTTTTTTCAATCATACCCCAGTATAGGTATCCTGTGGACAGCTGGTTGGCTACTGAGTGAACAGGTCTGATCCAGCATAGCTTTCCTTATGTTCTAAA